CTGAGACATCTGTAATTCAGTGCATGGATAAGCATTTTCATACTACCAAATGTCTGGACTGTGTAAATGGAACTTCTCGACTTCTGCCACTACATTTTGTTAAATGTATGTTTAAAACAAGTATGCATCTTTTATATATATTTTGCAGAGTTGAATATATGGCTTACCCAAGTTCTGAATGCTTTGTAACTAAAATGTTTTTCCTTGAAATAGCATTCAGTAGTATATATGGTACCTGACCAATGTTTATTCCATTTAACTCAGCTAAGTATTCATTCTATAAAATCACTATTTCTATGGATGTTTTGTGACTCTTTTAATGTGAGCTGTGGAGAATTAAGGACCAAGTAACTGTGTTATATGTTTACAAAGGTATCTATTTAATTAAGATAACAGAGGTGCAGATATCAGTATACAAATCTATGTGAAAATGCCCTGTGGCTTAATACAGCAAAACATGCAAATCACATGTATTGTTGTGACCTTAGAAACCATAAATATTCCTTTATGCCCTCTTATAATATCAAAACCTTTCTATCCATGTTTGAAGATTGTCAGATCTCCCTCTGTTAGGTTGCTGCTCTGAGCATTAGCTTGGTGCTACTGCAGAATGTAACTGGACTGACCAAATAATCCAGGAACTCATCCTAAAATAGCCAAAGCCAGAATTGTAGCCCATTTGGATTTCTCCCTGGGAAATTCATCCCTTCCTCACTACAGCTTATGAGACACGTTGACACAAATGAAAGCCTGAAGCACAATATACTAACCAAAACTGATCATCTGCATTTCTAAATCAAAGTGTATCAGTATATAATCTTATTGTATGAGCTGTAATGTTGAAAGCATCTTAGCTTAAAACAGCTTAGTCTCTTCCATGATTGTTGTAACCAATTTATGGCTACTCGGTGGATGAATCTATATTGTGATATCTATTTGATCCTAATAAAGTTATTGCATACAATGCATGTTTTCAGAGTATGTTAATATTAAAATGTCTCTGCAAAATAACTAAGATAACTATTAAATATAGATAACTGTTCCTGTGCTTGACCTTATTGGTCATATTCTTGCTGTTTTCCAACACTTTAATGAAGATTGTTTTAATGTACAATGGAGTACAACACTTCTACGGACACCGGTCATTAAATGTCAGCATCATAAGTTGAATACAGAATAATTAAAACTGTTCAATTTAATACCTACCTGCCTCTTTAAATCTGTTTTTACCTGTCAGTAAGACTAGCCTAGCACTGTGCTTAAGTATCCCACTTCTGTGTATTGCTGGAAAGCCATGTTTCCGCTTAAGAGAGGACAAACTATATATATTGGAATGTCTCAATGTCCTGGTATTCCAAATGGGAGCAAATACAGTTCTCTAGGTCAATGGCAAAATAATTCTGGGTCTCAGTTCTTTTATTATTTGTTTTTTTTAGGTTTTGGTAAAGTTTGATGAAAGTAAGCCAGGAGAAAATGAAATCTGTGTGGGTTCAGGGATGGGGATGGAACGTGTGCTCCAGATAGTCTCACTATTTTTCTTTTAAATCCACTTTCTATTAGTTAATAAGGAATATCCCAAGGTTTATCTAAGCCTCCCCACTAGAAATAGAGGGTTTTGTGTCAACTGGCTTTCTCTTCATGAGCTTTTCCACCCAAATCAACATGGTCCCCTTTCCAGACTGTCCTATGCAATGCTGAGAGTTAGAAACTTGAGTTTTGCTTAGGTTTATTCCTGCATTTCAAACAAGCTGAAATTCTTGTGTAACTCTGTGAGCACAGGAACTGCAACTTTCAAACCCTTAGGAGCTGACACCCCTGGAGAAAGGGCAGTTTCTAACACAAGATAAGGGCCAGAATTACTTATTTGGGGTATTATTTGTGTAACTCCAAATCTAAGATTTTCTCATGAATGGCACAGCTGGTCGAAAAGTTGACAAAAGTAGTTAAAAAGGCACTTGTTTTCATGGGAGACTTGCCCTTTGCTTTACTCACATCTTCACAGGTTCCTCAGCTCCTTGATGCCAAGCAGAACAATTGAGCTGGTTGTTATACTTTGGGTGCTATAGTCTTCAGTCTGAATTAGGAATGATGAAAAATCTCTTCACCCGTAGCTTCTCATAATAATATAGTATATTACAGTAACAACAGTGAGAACAAAAATGATGCATGCACTCGCCTGTGTTATATAAGAAAGTGTATCTGAATGTTTCCTCTGTGTTCTCCTGGATTCAACTCTTATCACATCCTTTGGCAATCACTGGGAAATTGGAGGTTTATTTGAACCAGAAATAGTGACTGTAGAGCAAAGTGTTGAGCTGCAAGATGGAAAAGCCTGTATTTGATGTTTCCTGGGCTTAAGACAAATAGCTAAGTACACTTGAGCATCCTCTGTGAAACTGCTGCTGGCAGGCTGATTGCTTTCCCACTTCATCATTAGTGTGTATCTCTGCCAGTTAGTTGAATAACTAGGTCAGCCTGGGAGAAAAAAAAACACGTTCCTTGATCTTGTGTGCTGTCCCTCCTGTTTTCCCATGTGTTTCTCTTTATAGCCCATTTCTCAGCTACCCAGGATGGGAGCGTATTTGCATTATCAAGTGTAGAGATGTGGAGAGCTGTGTACTCTCAGGTACCCCTGAGAGTGTGGCAGAGGAAGTGGAAGCACAGGACTTTCTCTCCAGGTGACTCAGAAGCCAAGCAAGAGGAATCATGCTCACATTTCAGCTTAGGGTTTCCCTACTGCTTTTGCCTGGGAAGGGATGCACTTTGCAAAGCTGCAGCATCATACCCTTTGTGGGGAGAGCAGGGAGCACGACTCTGGGTACGCAGTGGTTTTGCAGCCTGCTTTGTTCCCTGCCCAGCACGTCAAGGACCCAAGGAGAAGTTCAAATGCAAATCCAGCCCGCAGGGCTGTGCCTTCACTAGACAAGGTATTTTCTTATCGTGCAATACTTTCCTGATTAAATCTCCTTCACCGTGGCAGTTGAACCACCCATAACAGAGCCTCAGTGATGGCCGGGACTCGGAGGAAGTTTGTGCTCCTGTTGCATGAATTCATATTGCAGTTGCCTGACCTGATTAGGTTAATTATTTCCAACCTGTATGTGCTCTCAATTTGAATGAGCAATTCAGGCTCTAGCCCTGAAGTATTCTTGGCTGAATGCTGATGTACTGATGACAGAGGCAGTCGCATGCAACCCACATTGCACCTGCATGTAGTCTGCTCCTGACATCATCTCCAGAGTTTCACAATTAATGTTGCAGACAGATGAAGAAATACTGAGTAGAAAGTACCATGTATTGTTCCATCCTTTCTGGAAAAGTTCTTCCCCTATTATGCCGTATCATATCATAAGCATTTAGTCCTCTGTCTACTAGTTTTAAGCCAGATATGAGTCAAAATCTTTATGAATGTGAATGGATAGTATTAATATCTGGTGCTGATCATCCCATCATTTGTCAATGCCATACATCCTTAGTATGGAGACCTTAGCATTTCAATGTGAAATTTTAATAGCTCAGCAGGAATGCACCCCCATTTATTGCATTTATCTACCAGTTTCATTTCTTCATTTTTTCTTGTTGTGTCCTTCTTTAATAACATTTTAGGGTTTTATAACTGTCTTTTTAAAGTCTAAAAGTCCTGTAATAAACATTGCTCAAATATTCTTTTAGTGTATTTTCAGGCCTCCTTCTGAAAATGAATACTATACCAAGAACACTGGGCTCATCCTTGTTATAGAAACTGGAAGAGCTGGGTGCTTGCACACAGGGGATCCCCACAGCCACTGTGCTCCCTGACAGCCCTCATACGAGGCACGAGCATATTTTGGCCAAAGTGCTGTACCATGTCTGAAAAATGCCTAGATAAGAGATGCCACATGATGTTTCCCTGCAGAGAGACCAGTTCTAGTGGCTTTTCTTAAACGACATTTTACCTGCTCTTTTTTCAGCAATAGGATTCATATTTCAATCATCCATGACCCCTAGAGGTAAATGTCAGTCTGAGCTATCTCGTATGAGTGTGGAAGGGGACATGGGCTGACCCATCTGTGCCTCCCAGCCAGGTCTTCCCCTCACCTCAACCCCTGCACAGACCCATTGAGCATGCCAGCATTTGGCATTACCCAGAGAAGCGCTGGTCCCAGCTTCATCATCAGGCACCAGTCACCGAACTGCACCCAGCCTGACTGAGGCAGGTAAACATTGGTGCAGATTTCACCCCTGGGCAAAATCAAATTGACTACGAAGAGATATTCTTTATAAAATGGTGATGTGCAAGAGGAAAGTATTCCTGTGACACACAGATCATCACTTAAGCTACCCCAGCATGAATGGAAGCAGCAGCAGCAGCATCCACCCCAAAGGCATGGTGATGGAGAAACAAATGACTAGGAAACACTCTGATTTTATTTATCCGCCTCCTCACGATGCTTGGCAGTACGTTAACATGGGTAAACCAGTGACGGGAGAGCAGGAGCCAGCTGGGCTCTGTGACCAGAGGGGTACAGTGACCATTTGTTCACTTAGATTTGTGGAAAGCAGACTGCTTGTTGCAGCAGCAGGGATATTAATCCCTACAGCTGGTTAAATCCTCCGTTGACCTGTGCTGGTTGTGTCTCCTCTTTGCATGCCACCATGCAGAAGAGAAGAAGGTCCCTCCCCAGTCGGGGTACCAAAGGCTGTGGCTGTTGTTGAGACCAGCCGCAGCGAGGACATTAGACCTGCTGTTTCTGCTAGCTTTTCCCATGTTAAGTAACTGATTTCACAGGGATGGAGCATAAAGGAAAGTGGTATTAGGCTGTGACAGCCGGTTCTGTTTTGGGCTAAGACGATGTGGGGGGCTTCTCAGTCTTGGCTCTTTGGAAAAAAGTACACATATCACGGAAGATGAAAACGACCATATTCTGGTCACAAAGAAATCAAGATATGCAGAGAACCATCATAGAATCACAAACTGGTTCTGGTTGGAAGGGACGTTAAAGTTCATCCAGTTCCAACCCCCTGCATGGGCAGGGACACCTTCCATTAGAGCAGGTTGCTCCAAGCCCTGTCCAACCTGGCCTTGAGCACTGCCAGGGATGGAAGTGTTTTCCCTCCCTGCGTTCAAGTTAGCATCACTTCTGCATCTGCTGAAGGGTCAGCTGAAGGAATGCAGTCTGGGCGGTTAACAGTGTGACTGGAACTCCTGGTTTAGGAATTCGCTTGTGTCTCTGTGCCTCCTGCCCTGGGCATGCCCATACCTGCCCAGTGCTGTAGGGTCATCTCTAAGGGAGCCAGGGCTCCATCACACACAACTGTTTCACAACATAAGACTTACTGAATTGCACAAAGTACTCTAAAAAGAGTGAGAAAACTGTGGGGAAATATCAAAAGTGAAGCAGAGGCTGAAGCTTTTTGTAGCAGCAATTATTTTAAGTGAACTGCCCGTAAAGGTTTTGCAGTTTTAGGCGTCAGGTTGCTTATTTGGGGCAGACAATATTGTTAATGTGTGAAACATGCTAAAAATTGACCAATAAAATCACCTGGATATTTCAAACATAAATAGTGTGTATAAAAATAGATACAGAGCAGATGGCCTGGCTCCCTGCACACCTTGCTGACCAGAATACTCAAGCAACACATACAGCCAAAATCTTGCCATCTCTGAAGCTGATATCTGCAAAGGCAAGGGTTATCCTCATGCTACTCTTTATCTTTTAGGCACTAACACTCCTGCATACGTTGATTAGTGTATTCTAGAGGGATAATGCACCTTGGGCTTGTTTGAACTTGTTACTACCTAAGCAAAGCAAATCATCTGGTTTAGAGCTCAGGTTCTCAGGAGTCGGTTAGATTAAAAAGGCTGTGAGCTGAAATCTGATGTACAGTGGAAAAAGCCCAAAACACAGAGGGTTGGGTTTGCAGCCAGCTCACAGCACTGCTTGTAGCTGATAAACATGCAGCAGAGACTGCCTCTCATTCTCATTTTTACCTTGGACGCTAAGATCAACCACCACCATCCTGCGGATTAAGCAGGATGTAAGGCTTTTCATGCCTCCTTGTATGGTTCAACAGATGTGAAAGGGAATTATCACTTCAACATGATATCAAGACTCTCTCTTTTTTTTTTCCTAGCTGATGGCAGATTACTAAGCCTGAATTCTTGTTTAATTTTAGTGTGTTAATTGATGGGATAATGAGCATTGATTATATGTGTTTTGGCTACGTCATTGCAATTACAGGCTCTGTTTTATTCATGAGCCAGTCCTAAAGAATGCACTAGAGATCTAAGACAGCTTAAACCTCTCAGAAAAAGGCTCTGAATTGTTTGAGTAATGACACTCTTAGATGGAAAATTAAAGGTTCTCTTTTCCCATGCTTTTTAAGATAATTAAAATCCAGGAACAGTAAGGTGGTGAACATCCTTATTCATTAGTCTTCAGTAATTTAGCTTCTACTAACTGAGGAAAACATTTTAATTCTCCAGGCCATCTGTTGCAGTCTCCTTTGCATGTCCTGTTACATAAAGTCTCATCCTGGGTAGTTTTAGCGTCAGCATTGTATTCTTTCACCAGGAATGATGAGCTGGGTGAGGCAGTTGAAGTCACTACCTATTAACAGACCACCCTGGGATTAGAAGGGCTGCTTGGTCTTTTAGATTCAAGTTATCCCATCTAGACACCTCTGGGTTTCCGTGCATGGAGATAGGCAGTGAGACAAGATGTGTGTTTTCTAAAAGCAATATCCCTGCCAACAAATAACAAAGTTCATCAGAGCTCTTCCAGTTCCTCAACATGCGACTGCTCTGCCATATGGCTCTGTGCTGCTTTTGGAAGCAGGTAGTAACCACTCACACAGAAACCAAAGCAGAGGCTCTGTGCTGGATGCTGCTTTGCAAGAGGTTCAGAGGAAGAACAGATCTCTTTGCTCTGCATTGGGGAATAAATATTAGAGCAGGAGCGTGCTCACCTGGGATAAATGCTGGGTCAGGAAATGGGATTTCTGACTATCTATTGGAACAACTCACTTTATAGCTTTGGGCAAGTTACATTAGCCCACGCTAGAAACATTTCCCACTGAAATGATAATGTGTATAGCTCAATGGATTCAGATTCTTAAGTTATTCCCGATGCAGTTACATCCCTACAGATCTAAGAGGATTCAGGTTCCATTAATTTGGCTTGTTTCTGTCAAATTCTCACATCAAATCAAAGCCATGCTACTTGTCAGCAGGGGCTGCTTTAGACCCATGTGTTTAACCAGCTCCATGATCACCAGGTTGTGTTTCCATTATTGATAAGGCAGGGCTGCAAGCTTCCACAAGGTAGAGCTTGAATTCACCTGCTTGCTATTACTCAAGTTGCTTAGAGATCACAAACACCCTGGCCTCAAGATGTGTGGCTGCAGAGCCAGCGTCTCCAACACAAAGCAGTGCTTGGACAATAACCCAGCTCCTGCATCTACCAAAAAGAGCCCTTTGGCTGCAGCAGATATGTCCAAGTGGTAAGTCATCATTTTGCTCTTTGCATCTCAGGTGATCTGCCATTTGACTTGAAGTTCATTATCTGGATGTATTTGCCTCTATTACAAGCAAAATCTTCCACTGTGTGTTGGCTGCTCTGTAATTATTTCTAGCCCTTTAGCTGAAGTAAGCAGGCTCTATGTTTTAATAGGAAGCAGGGAGGTGCTGCTCACGGATGTAAGTCCTGCTGGAAATAAAAGCTGCATGTCTGCTCCAAACTGGGAGCACTGGTGAGCAGGGGCTGATAGACCCCTCTGTTCTTCCCTGGGGACAGGCTTAAAACTGAGCAGCTCTTTCAAGTTCTAAAGAAATTGTTTAAAGGATGTTGCAATGCCCCTCTCTGAAAATTATTTAATAAGCACCTTCAATAACAACTTCAGGCTCCTTGCTTAGGTGAGGAATTAGGAGTTGTGTGATGCTGAGTGCTGCTTGTAAAGACCATTTTCCTTTCAGTTGTGAAGAAAAGCTGGTCTCCCTTGGGAAGCCCTGAGTTTCTGGGGGATTAAATGAAACAGAAATGAGTGAGCTTACTCATGGAGAAACTGTATATGCACACAGTTCACCAGGTGATAACTGTGCCTCTCTTCTCTCTCCCTACCAGCATACCCATAGCCAAGCAGCTGGCATCAATAAAAGGTAAGGAGATCGATTCATTGCCTTTTTGGGTTCAGGTCTTCTTCAGCCAGTAAATCTGGTGATTTAGCAGAGCTGCAGAGGCCACACAAACCCTCAGCTGATGCAAGATAAGAGAGGCAGGAATAGACTTGATGGGTCTCATGTGTCACCCTGCATTACTGCCCCGAAAGCTTCCTCTCAGGCTGTGTTTCCATGGGATATGAGGTGTGTTGCTGTCCCACTCCAAATAAAATCTGGACCAGGTCCTCTGTGGGTATAAACAGTTTCAGTCTCATTAACTGTAAACTGCACAGATTCCCTCCCACTCAGGATGGTTCTGACAGATTCCTTTAAATTATAATGCCACTTTTTCTGATAGTCTGATAACTTCCCCCCCCCAGCTCTAGGAAAAGGCTCAGACCTTGAGAAAGCTTTCGCTACACTGGCTTTGGTGTATAACAACTCTGCTGATCCGGAGGGCAAGCTCAGCAAAGGTGAAACAAAAAGCTTGCTGCAAACCCAGTTTGGGGGTTTCATACAGGTGAGGGGAACTGTGGGCAAGAGGGGGGCGGTGGGGTGGCACTGGCTGGGTGATTTGGGTGCAGAAATGGCACCTCAGGCTCTGTTCTGCACCTGGGTATCACTCCATGAGGCAACGTCAAGTGAGACTTCAGTGATTTAGTATGAACACTGCTAGTGAATTAGCTCTTTTATGCTGATACTGGACCTAACACAAGGCTAAAGGAGGAGAGGCACAATAAATTGATGTGCTTGTTTGTGGGGTTTTCTTAAAAGAAAATATGGATTTTGGGGAGAAAAACAAAACAAAAAACCTCAGATAATGACAAGAGACTGTATTTATGAAGAGAAGAAACCATCCTAGAATCACAGAATAGTTTGGATTGGAAGGGACCTTAAAGCTCATCCAGTTCCAACCCCTGCCACGGGCAGGGACACCTTCCACTAGAGCAGCTTGCTCCAAGCCCCTGTGTCCAACCTGGCCTTGAACACTGCCAGGGATGGGGCAGCCACAGCTTCTCTGGGCACCCTGTGCCAGCGCCTCAGCACCCTCACAGGGAAGAGCTTCTGCCTAAGATCTATTTTAAATCTACCCTATTCTAGTTTAAAGCCATTCCCCCTCGTCCTGTCATCCCATGGCATTTAATGAGGTGTTCGGTAGTCTGCCAGAGCACTGGGCTGGTACCAGGAGAGCCAGCCCAGTGCTGCAGAGCTGCAACACTATGGTTGCTGGTGGGACTGCTGGGAGTAAGGGAGCAGAAAGCACCTCTCCATCAGTCACCCACCCGGGGTGTTTATGGCAGTTGAGTATGGTGGGAAACAGCTATACTGGTACTCAGGTTAGATATAAGTAAGAAGCTCTTTCCTGTGAGGTGGCGAGGCCCTGGAACAGGCTGCCCAGAGAAGCGGTGAATGTTTCATCCCTGGCAGTGTTCAAGGTGGTAGGAAAAACAACGCAGGACTAGTAAAAAGAGCTCAACTCAGTAAATGAGATGTTTAGGACATTCTTGACAATACCTTTGCTTCCAAGAATAACAATGTGACCAGTTGGGAAGGGGGAATTGGCAGTGGGTTAGAAAATAGGTTCCTTATGGAAAATGATGTGAAAATTTCAATAGCCAATCAAATCTGGAGTTTGTGATGTTTTGGAGATTATTAAGCTAAAAAAATAAATCCTGTAGCTTTTTTGTTTCTTTTATGTGTAAAGAAATATGAATTACAGACACGATACATACTTGTTAATAATCCCTTCCATTTCAACAGTAATGTCTAACAGGGCAGAGAATAGAAGCTACTGAAGTTATGTATGTAAAATCAACAGTTTCTGAGGTGTTCACAATATATATATATGAGAAATACCTTGAATATGAAGGTAGGAGGGTGTGTTGGTTTCATCAAGACACAGGATTCTATTCTTCCCAGCAGTTACTTGCTGCAGCATCATTCCTGCCAGATTTTCAGCTATGATGAGGTGTCTTTAAAGATGTATTCTGGGTTCAGGTGGAAACCTTTTAGGACCAGTTTTTCTCCTGTCTGATTACAATAATATTTCTGTTTGAGTTTCTTGGGATACCTTTAGAAAAACTAATATGAATGTGGGCATAAAAACCTGAATGGGAATATAGGAAAATACACAGATTTTTATATAGGTGTCTTTTTGTCTGATGCAATAAAAAAGGAACTTCTTAATATTCTTTTAATTTCTTTTTTCTTCTTTTTTTCCCATTTAAAATCCTCCATAGGGCCAAGAAAACAAACCAAAATACCAGGAAATCATTTCTGCCCTGGATGAGGAGCCAGAGAACAAAATTGATTTTGAAGACTTCATGATCTTGTTAGTCAGCCTCACTCTAATGTCTGACCTGCTGCAGCAGATCAGAAACATGAAAACCACAAAATGAGCAGTGCTTTAGGAGAAGAAAGGGCTTGTTGCTTCATAAGGAAAGCAGGCATGAAGCACAAGCAGAGATAACACTGAGCGCCTGGATACTCTGTGCTGATCCCTTTATACGGAATAAAGTCTTGTCCAAACCTGGCTGATCTCACTCCTCTATACAAATGATCCATGGAGTGAAATGCTGGTGCTAAGGGCTTCATGTACATGCTCTGGGATGGCGTGCTGACTGGATCTCAGTGGGTCCTGAGGCCCCAACACCAGTTACCATCAGGGTGTCGCCCCTAGCCCAGCTTAATGCTGGGGAAAGGCAGCCTGTGCTCTCCCAGACCTCTCCATCTCCCACCCCATTGTGGGGAGATGATGGGGGGAAACTGCCTCAAAAACATGCAGCTCCATCTCTCTTCAGGACACAGCATTCACGTCATGGCCAGTCAGCTTCCCAGGACTTTGTAACCCCAGCCCTGAGAGAGTGATACCAGGGATGGGTTTCACAATTGGTAGCAAGCACAAATCTATTACAGCCTTCAGTAAATAATGACTTCATCCTATATGATTTGCAACCCATCACTGACCCTCCTGAGAGAAGTATTTATGTGTGTTTATTTCCTCTTCCAGCTCACCTTTTCATTGAGTGATCGCCATGGGAGGAATTTCAGGTCCAGCATTTGCAGTGCTGCTTTGGCAGTGCTGTGCTTGCACCAGCATTGAAGGGATGGTTTAGTTAAACATGTCAGTCAGCTGAGCCTGTTGTTTCATCAGACTGTGAAGAGGACAAACCAGATAAGATAAGAGTGGCCCAGACTAATGATGGTGAGGAATAAACGTGGCCAATAATGTATTTGTATTGGAGCTGAGTGATAATTGGGTACCCAGCCATGGGCTTGGTGAATGCCAGAGCCTCAGTATTAAATGTTCACCATCCTAATCTTTGTTTTGACTCCTAGCTAAGAGATCCCAGCTCAGACCTAACATTTAGCCCAATGACATCCCTTTGATGCACAAAAAGTGTTCTCTTATGCCGGGAATAGGATGTCTTCTGTAAGAATTTAACAAGCCTCTACTAAGACAGCTGAGTGAGCCAGCGAGACATTGCAACCATTTTCCTTGTCTCTTCTTCCTTGTCTGGAAAGGAGAAGACAAATGATTTAGCTTTGGTGCATAATTTTTTTAAGAGGAAGGGATCAAAAGCATTGGTGTTAAATGAGGGGAATTATTGCCAGCTGAGTAACAAGATTTAACTTCTTGACATAAAAAGGCTCTCAGTGTTCCCAGAAGCTAAGAGGATGCTTTGTAATGGATTTTGGTGCAAAGAAAAGGCAGCAGGAGGCCAGCAGCCAGTTCTTTTGAGAAAGATGGGTTGTTTTTTTGTGCTGTATTGGATGGAGCTGAGAGAAGAAATGCAAATGGATGCTGTGCAGTTTGAAACAAAGCTCAGTAGCTAAGGTGCTGCTCCACGAGGCTTGGCCTCAGCCAGGACATGGCTAAACATTCACAAATGGCCCTCCTACAAATAAAACCTCGTATCAACCAAGTCCCTTGCTCTGATGGTGAGTGCAAGAATAGCAGTATCAAACCTCTGGCAAGAAATGACAGAACCCACAAGCAGCCATTTGCTTGGTCATAGACACATCTCTCCCACAAACCTTGCACTGAGGGACTGGTGAACCTGTGTTGTGAGGATGGCTGACCCCATGAGGGGCACATCAAAGCTCCCAGAGACGGGATATGGGAGCACAGCGATGGATGAGGAGGGCAAACCTCCCCTGGAGACCATCCCTTCTGGGCTTGTGTCCTCTGAGGAAGCTGACCTTGACCACGCAGCCTGGATCAAAATGAGGACTTAATCTGGTAGCCTTATCCATGCAGGTATCACAGCTTCATATTGATGAAGTGTCCCTAGTGTTGCTCAGTCCCTTTTCTTCTCTAGGTAGATGATCTCTGAAAGCTTCAGAAAATCAGCTGATGTCCCTTTTCTGGGGTAAAAAGATGGAATGAAAATCCCTGGAAGGCTTTCCCATTACTGAAGTAATGGGAAAGGCAGAGCCCTGAAAATCTTGTTTGGGAGCCACTGGTGACTCTGAAAGTATAAATTTCCTAATACCCCTTTACAACAAATAGCCAAAAGGAGCAATATTGTGAAGACAATTAAGAAAGAGTTCTTTGAAATTGATAAGGCCCTAACGCAGTTTCTGCTATTGCTAAAATGTTTCTTAATTTTGCAGGGCTTGAATTAATGACTTAAGAGCCTTTTATCAGATCCGTTCACTGTCATTTCATCATATGCAAACTTTTTTTCTTGTAGCACAGTGTGCTGTGAGCTAGCATCCTAAATCCCTGGCTTCCATCAAAAGCCCCTTCAGCTAAGCGCAGTGCAAATCCAAAGTAAGAAGCAATTCCTGAGCAACTCAATAGCAAAGATATACAGATAGTAGGGAAGGGATCAGTGGTGCACAATAAAACCAACTGCCTTGCTCAGCACATGTAGCAGAGCTGGAACTGGATGTCAATCTACACTGGGCTCCTTGCACAGAAGTCCATGGTTTTCCAAGAGTCACTTTGATGGTTTCTACAAGAGCTCCTGAACAAAATGAATGGGATATGCAAGGCTTGATCTGCATCAGTCCTTGAAAGTCCTGCCCAATGCTCAAAAGCAGAAGGACGCACTTGGAAGAGCATCCTCCTATAGTTAGGAGTAGGCAGAAGTTTGAGCTCGGCTGTGGAAGATGCATTTTTATTATTAGCTCAGGCTGTGGCTGCTCTGAGCACTCTCAACTAACAGCTTTGAAGCTGATCTGGCATAGACAGTATGTCTGGCTGCATCCTCAGGGAGCTGACTAAAAGCTTGCTTAAAAGGCTACTGTTGTGCTTTATTTTGTTCCTAGCTTGCTCCTACTGGAAGCGATGGGAATTCATCATTGATTTCTCATAGCAGAGCCCACACAAGTGCTAAGGAGTTGAGCAGGCAGATAAACTGATGAAATCTGCAGGCTCCTCTGCCTCAGCATGTGTGAACATTGCATCAGTATCTGGTACCCCCTGGAAGTGAAGGCAGGATGGAGAGCAGCTAGTCAAAACCTGACCTCTATGGGCTCGGGTTGGGATTTGTGCAGCTACACTGTCCAGGTGTGAATAACCACCCTTGGGAGGCTCTGCAGACTTTTCATGTAAGCTTAAAGTTCTGTTCTGAAAAGTCTGAATCACCTCTGCAGTTATGTGAGCTTCCAAATGACTGCCAGAGGAGAAATGGGGGTCAAGTAGAACTCCAGCCTCTGATCTTCAGCTTCCATTTCCCAGTATCAGCTCAGGAAGGCAGGTTCATTCTCATGCTTACAGCACACTTACAGCTTCTGCCCGTGGCTTCTTACACCCTATCTGGCCTTAACTCTGTGGCCTGCTGCACTTGGAGGTTTTGAATATCTGGCTTCAGCCTAAGGTGCTCTCCCAGATTGCAGGGGAGCTTTCACATCCAGACACTGACTTGCACGTCGAGCTTTCTGCTGGGGGCCTATGGCCACACATGCTGTGTGTGCAATCATGTGTAAATCTTTCAGGAAAGAGAAATACGCTCCCTGACTGTCTCTCTGTTACTGCACCTTCAGTAAGACCTGTCTGGTGCACTGGAGCATGAATGCTGAGGATGTCTTGCAGTCTGACACATTGTGCCTGTCTCCTTCTCCTCCCTCAAAGTAAGTGCTGTGTTGCTTTTTCATGTAAAATAAACCTTGCTGTGCTTGCACAGACTTTGTAAGTATGTGTGTGTACTTCCAAGTGTCGTGGTCTGGGAAAGCTTCTTGCTACATCCACTCTAGTGGTTATTGCAACAGGTCACTTTGCACGTAGAGGTAGAGGTTTGCATCGTAGCCTGCCAAGGTAGCAATAAAACTGTGGCTACACGGTAAGAAAGCCTTCTAAAGGAGTGTTGGGATGACTAACAAAGATACTACGTGCAGCATCCCCTCAGGAGGTCACTACAGAACAGATGAAAGGCTTTGTCTCAGAGTTACGTTCTCTCCAAAGTGCGACGGTTTGTGTGCCTCAAAGGAACGCAAACCACAGCACATACTGTGAAACACCTCCTGGAAAACAGAAAATCTGTTCCAAGCTCAGCCAGGGAATCCAGATAAAGAAAAGGTAGAAAAGGTGGTGGGTTTATGTCTTTCTGAACCGACAGCTTTTAATTCCTGCCTTGACTTTTACTGCAGTTGGTGGTTTACAAGGTTTCCATGAAGCTCTGTCTTCTTGCTTTGTTCATCTGCTGTTCCCTCACCCTGCAAGTGTTATGGTCCTAGATCTGAGCCCTCCTCCAGGAAAGGTAAACAGCAAATGATATTCAGCAGACACATATATCAGGCTGTCCCTCTAATCCCCAACTGCACAAAACAGCCATTAGGTTAGACAGATTCAGAGCCACAGAACTTAGCCTTTATTGTTATTGTAGGAGTGAGTTGAAGCAATGCATAGCCATCACGAGACTCAGTCCCAGCATCCAGCACATACAGAGGAGCTGAACTGTGATCCTCCAAACTGAACACAAAGAAACATATAGGATTGACCCAAGCTCAGCACTGGGTGCCTGTAGCAGAGGCTGGTGGTGCATAGCTGGTGCAGTGCCTCGATCATTGTTCTTCCCATTCAGGAGTCCCAGAAAGACCAACTTGGAAAGGCTCTGCTGTGCAGAGAATCATAGGTGGTGCTTGGTTCCTCTGTGACAAAATTCAGGCTGGGCTCTATAGTGAATATGTAATGGCTTGCCACTGAGTCTCAAAAAGGACCTTGAGTACCAAGGGCCTCTAGGCAGGCAGGGATCCCGTGTAAGTGATGGCCCCTCACAAGATGGCATCACAAGGTGCAGCCCCTTCTGACACCCATAATGCAACCCCTGGAGCCAAGGAAACAGTTTCCATTTGTGATTTCCTCTGTTTCATCCCCCTTGCCATGACCCAGCTTTCTCTGTTGCTGTCTGCTGGATTTTGATGTTGAGAGGAACGCAAACCACAGCACATACTCCTGTGAGAGGGCTGCTGAAATCAGTGACAGGTCAGCAGCTCTCCAGTGGAGGGAAGCAGCTCCTCAAGCGGGCATGTTTGTAACCCCACAGTAAAACCAGCAGCCCAAACAGATCCAGAGGTTCAACAGTGGGCAAAATCAATCCCTGCTTGTCCTGAGATGATCAATAAGCGACGTACAGGATACCAGGAGCTCTTCCATCCTTGCAACGCAGCAGCTAGTTGGCCTCTGGGTACCCTAGCATCATCAGAGCAAAGGAGAACAAGCATCACAGTAAATGATCTTTGGTGAAAGTCTTGCTTTGCTGCACGTGATTAGTGCGTGGCTTGCTAAGCATTAATCACTGTTACAGAACTAAATACAAGCTCTCTGGAAAGGCAGCCAGAGTTAGGACAGCTCTTTGGATAAATTGGTGTGTGCTTGGTCTCTGCTTGAGTTTGAACAACAAAGCTGGTTAGTACTAGAAATCGTCCCAGTATTCTTACAGTGGGGACATGTAGAAAGATCTACAGTCCAGCCCAGAGACCTTTCATTTTTCAGAGATGGCCCAGAGAGCCCTCCCACTATTACTTTGATTCCTTTTCACAGCAGAATGAGATTGGTTTACTCTGACACCTGGGTCGGTTGGAGGAAGCCTGTGTATAGACATTGACTCACTTCCCACATCTCTTGATGTAGCTGTCCTGCCTCCATCCTTCACAATGCGCTTTTAGGTTTTGTTTGGAGACAGCATGCCCTAGTAGAGACATCCAGGTTAAGCATTGTATGACAGAGTTTGCTTTTCTAAAGCTGCAGGGGTGAAAACCACATTGAGGGCAGAACATCATCAGGTAAATTTCATCTTTCCTTGCATGCCACAGCTGGTCTCACAGCTTCCCTGGGCTTATATGCCACTGTGTGGATTTTATGGGGTTTTGCCTAATTAATGAAAACAAACTGCAAAATTACCTTCTTATTAAACTGAGCTCACTATGGTAATAATGCTGATTACTTTCCTGAAAAACTTCAATTAGGCAGCTACAACAAACTGTAATAAGGAGCCCAAATTAAAACCAGATCACACTAGACTTTGGCTTTGTCAAATGTGGCGTTAATACCAGGCACATACATAATGATTAAATTATACATGAAAAGCTCTTCTTTCCTCCTGTGGTAAAAATCCATCATGTTCCTAGAGGAGAAAGAGTTTATATAAAAACATCACATTAATAACCAACACGTCAGTGAGTGTTTATCAATAGTTTCTTTCCAAGAGCAGCTTTTAACTCCCATGTTCTGCAAGACTCAACCATTACAGAGCTCTTTATCTCATCTCTAAATTTACGCTTGTAGTACACATGACCCAAGGTTGTTGTCAAGCCTCTGAGGAAGAGAAAAGCCTTATTACCTGCACATATACTCCTCAATTTGCCTTTTCTCTTCTGGCTTCTTTAGTGCTTGGATTCAGCTCAGCTGAAAACAGAACACAATTTGAGAGCAATTTGCATAAGAATTGTAAGCAAAGGCCTTCACCAATTAGGTATTAATTAATGAGCACCTAAAGCCTTCTGCTGAATGCAACCTGAGGTGAAGCAATGCTGGGAGTTCTCAAGTGTATGTGAGGGAAAGAGTGGGTAAGCTAGCAAATAAAAGAGCAACACTTGATTCTTAGTATTTATTCTCACTGTTGAGACCACAGGAGAACTGCAGGCTTTTTACCCCTGTTAAAGGATGGCAAGAGGTGCCTCTGTGGCAGCGCTGGGTTGAAAGGAAGGCTGTTCCACATGCATCTGGATTCATGTAGGAAATCCCAGGCTATGCCTAGCTTGGGGTGATGATGGTTGTGAGGAGCAACAGTGCTGCAGAGTTGCTGCAGAGTCACAACCCAGCGAGGAGGGAGCACAGCAGAGCAGGGGATGCTGGGGTGGGTGTTTGAGGTCTGGGATGGTAGACAAGATGCTGATGCCCCAGGATATGCAGGCAGCACTTCAGAGATGTGGTGAAGAAGGCAGGTCTCTGCTGCCCGATACAGGGTCTGGGAGGGATTAACATCCTCTGTGGGAGTTAAGAGATCACTGATACAACAAGAGAGTGAGCTTTGGACTAGAAGGAAGCTCAAGGTTGAGTCTGGAGACTTTAGAAACCTGAAGAGACCATTTTTCTTACTATGTTGGATGTATACATCTGACACAGCACAGCTCTTCCGAGGAACTTAGCTTTTAAATTTACTAGGTGGTAGCTAGGCTCTGGACATATCCACTGCCTCCCAGACCTGTTATAGACATAGCCTTCAAAAGGGAACATTCTGATTCTCTCTTTTTCTAGCCCAGAAAAACATTTAGCAGCTCTTCCTTAGGGATTTAAATGGGAGCTCTCAGCTGTTGTGTGTTTCAAATCAGCTCAGAATTCTGATAAAGGGAAAACACCCTTTTTCTATAAATCTCTTGGGAGCAAGGTTGGGGTGCTGGACTTCCCATGGTGTGCAGGAGGGAGAGCTGGTTTGTGCTGCTTTACAGGTATGTAAAATATCTCTTTGCATCAGAAATTTATTAATATACAAGAAAACAAATGCTGGTGCTAATCAGTGTGGGGGTTGTTGGTGTCTTCGACTTAATTCAGTTGTGAAGGCTGTCTTGAGCACAAAGCTTGAATCCCAACAGCTTTAAGAAGGTCTAGTCTGGTGCTGCTGCTTCTTTTTGTAAGCATTAAGAGCTTCGGAAAGGCAGGATTGTTCCCTTGAGCTGGAAGCCATGTGGGCTCTCTGCTCTCCTGCAGTCTGGAGTGTTTTGCCACTGACACCTATTTCATAACGAGATTCCTGTCTATACCCGTGCATCCTAATGAACACTGTGAGTTAACAGGGGCCAATAGGTACTTTAAGATCAATTGAAGTACCCCGTAAATTTGTTAAAGAAATAGACCAGAGCCTGAGCTATTGGCTAATAAACAAATGAATTTAAACTGTTACCTTTTCAAGCTCCAGGGCACCAATTGCTGCAGCATCCCAGGTCTCTGTAATGACCCCTAAAAACACTTGCTGCACTCATGGGCCCTTCTGGGAGCTGTTTTGTGGGTCTTGGTGGAGGTGGCTATGTGCCTGCACTGTGTGGCCAGGATGGAAACAGGCTGATACCCCAGGAGAGACCAGGAGGGTTTGGTTTCTGGGACCAAAGTGGATCCCAAGCTCAAGGTTTGGTATTCGGTTTGCTCTGAAGAAATGTATTTAAGTTGTTGCTGAGATGTTTCTGCTGTCATTGCCCCATGGAGCCGTGCATGCTGCTGTGTTGCATTACTGACTGCATCCCTCTGCAGCTGCCCTGTGAGAGGGGCTGAGGCCTCGTACACAGGGAAAGATTGCAGCAAAGGGGATGGACGTTAGTTATGCATAAATTTGCTTGTGTGTGTATATATAATGTATGTATGTTTAAAATAATACACATTATATTTTGGTTTATGCATACACAAGATAAAATATATACGTATAGTTTATGTTTATTATATATAAGCTATATCTAAGATATCTCTCTGCGTACATACACAGATGTAAAATCTCCTCCAGTTTTTACTGTCCTGATATGCCTCACTTACAAACTCTGTCTTGCTTCTGCATCGTTTCCTAGGCCATTTTTGGCTACAGTGAACAGTGCAGATCCCTGTGTACATCTCTCCCCTGTCAAAAAACTGGGGCTTGTTCCAAACCTTACAGGTTTTGGGTTTTTCATCCCTCTAGTTATTAATGCATTAAAGGATCCTGCCTCTCCTCCTGTGACATCCTAGTGGCTTTAAGTGCTTTTTGAGAGGGGCTTTGTCAGAAGCCCTTTAGCATCAAAATGCTGCTAAATGGAGTAGGTAATCACTGTGCTGGTCACTGCTGCTTGTGTGATGGTGCTGTTTTCTGCCAGGAGCCACCCTGCTCCCTCCCTGCTGATGATGCTGCTCTCTCAACACAGCTTCCCCCAGTTTTCCAGGTACTGAAGCTGCCAGGTCCCAGGGCTCTCTTTAAAACCTGGTATTGCATTTGTCTTTTTCCCCATGTCTCTGGTACTAACGTTAACAAGAGGGGCTGTCGCTCCACCACAGGTACTTGTGGCTAGATCTGTGGTGGAAAGTCATCCAGAAATACCTTTTTTTTTCCTCTTTTTAAAATCTAATTGTTCAGCTATCTGCCTGCTAGTTGATAGGGAGATGGCAGGGGAAGGGAGGGCCATGATGATATCAGGGACTTGCTGGTTTGCCATTTGTGTGTATCACACTGCTGTGTTGTAACTGCGTCTCACTGAAGGTAATGAGAGTCATCGGCTCTTTCTCAAGAGACCCCCTTCCACAGGTGCTTGTGGTGGGAGCCAAATACCATGTCCCTCATGATGTGATCTCAAGTGAGGGCTGAGACACTGCTCCAGAACCAGGTCTCAGTTATCCATTAGCTAATGGATCCTTGGGGGATGTAAGGAAAGCTGGGACATGGTGGCTTGTCTAGAAACACAAGGCTAAAGGCACAAAGGGGTTCTGTTATTTACGATGACAGGAGTCCTGGAGGTGCTCTGGGTGAACTGGGTTTCAAGGAGGGGCACAACCCCATATCCTCCCCTATGGTTAGTGGACTGACTCAAGGAGGCACCACAAAGCCCCAGCCAGCTGAACCCCCAAACCTACGGTATGGGGTGAGCAGGGGGGTCCTGGGAAGTGCCCTTCCTGGGATTGCCATGCTGCAGGTGAAACTTGAGGATACAGGGTGATGAATGGTGCCTGTACTGGGCTAAGTGGAGTCACTCACACACAGGGATGCATAGCACAATACAGTGTATGTTAGCCCAGCCAAACCCCAGCTCCCAATGCTCTGCTCTTAGGCATTAATAGTGTGAGACACAGAACTGCCCTGACTTGTCATTTGGAATAAATACCCTACATTAAGTGTATCATCACACCTCCTGAAGCCACTGCACTGAGCCCCCTCCATCCATGTGCTGCAGGATGTACAAGCCCAGCCGCTGGCTGTCTGTGGCCCTTGTTCTAAGGGAGCCTTCCTGACTCTCCCTGCAGCGTAGGGATGCTGTTGGTTGAAGTATCCAAAACAAAACTGCACGAATTATTTAACAGGGGATTTTTTTTCAACAAGTTTTCTCTGCTTTATGGCAAGGCTCTTAATTTGATGAATTAATGTAAGACATGCTAATTTACCAGCAAAGACAGCAGGCAAAGATCTCTCTGCTCATCCCAGACACAACAGATTTCAAGCCCGGTGTGTGCTGATGCCACTAGAAATTGCCATAAAGACAACAGCACTATCTGTCCTTGCCACACAGGAAGATGTTTGTGGCTTTTCTCTCTCCCTCTGTGGTAGGAGCCTGAGCAATGACTTTTATGGGACAGAAGCAGGATGGTGAGAATCTGCTCCCATGTACACAGGACAGAGGTGACCTACCAGCCCGTCCAGCCTGAGACCCCAGTGTAGGTTGCTGGCTCACTGCAGCAGTCTTTGATTCCTGAAGAGATCATGGGGGTGGTTCTGTGTGTCTCTAGCCCAGTGTAACACGGACTTCACAATGCATTGTGTTAAAAGTGTAGGAAAAACAGGCTCAGACCACAGGGCCAGCATCATAGAATCACAGACTGGTTCTGGTTGGAAGGGGCCTTAAAGCTCATCCAGTTCCAACTCCCTGCCATGGGCAGGGACACCTTCCACTCGAGCAGGTTGCTTCAAGCACCGTCTAACCTGGCCTTGAACACTGCCAGGGATGGGGCAGCCACAGCTTCTCTGGGCACCCTCGCAGGGAAGAACTCCTGCCTAAGAGCTCATCTCAATCTCCTCTCTTCTGCAATTCCACATCTGCAATTCAACCCCAGGGAAAGATGCAGATTTGAAGTCGAGCTGGGAAGCCACTGTTACTGGTCTTGGAAGAGGCCAGGTTAAGGTGCTGATGTGGGGAGATGTTACCTTAGTACGGATGCATTTGAATAGGTAGCTCACTGCTTCAGGCTTTCCACACATTACCTATATAAATAGAGATTTGATGCTGGGATAAAGGGGACTCTTGCTGTGTTTCTAGAAGCAGCTCTCCTGTGGCCACTGTGCGTGGTGATGCGTTGGTACTTTCACAGCACACAAATAACCATCGCAGTTTGCGTATTGAGAAGCAGCTTCACAACTTTTCTGTCTGCCTGAACTTACCCACAGCAGGGTCTCAAATGATGCGTATTGAAATGGAGCAACCTTGAGACACCTTTGCCTAGAGAGAGACCACCAACCAGAGGGGACAGGCTTGCTTTGCTGCTGCTTTGAAAGATGAATGATCTGACTGCGAGCGGCTGCCTGCTCACATGAGGAGCGTTTAGTCAATTTGGCATGAAGCAGAATATCTAAATCATTAAGGTGTGTGGGCTTTGCAGTGCATAAATAAGTTACGAATTAGGGATTCTGAGTGGTTGCTCCCCCCTTGTGTGCAGTGCTCCAAGTGATTACTGTTCCCCTCTTT